TTTTTTTTTACCTTAAACCGCATAAACACATTTCATTACACCAAATACACGAAATAATGGTCTTACTAGCAGCATCATATGACCCCTTTAAAATTTCTGTAGAATTTGCAATTGGGGTGCACCAGTGGCTTCAAAGTCCTTCAGGTACTCCGCAGTGAGTGTCTTGTAAAGTGATTTCCCATTTTAAATGTGCACACAGGCGCAATGATATTACACAGCGCCTGAAAATAGTCCCCAGCTATGTAACTTCCAACGTGACTAGCACTAAGTTTGTGTAGTTGGTTATGTTGACGGAAGTTAGCCTATTTTCTGGCGTTGCGTACTATCACTGCGCCTGCTGCACCCATAGTACGGCAGCAAAGGTCCTTGATTATTACGCCGGAATGAGAGTATAGTTCTTAGCCATATCGGCCTAGAAAATCACAACTTTTCATTTTCTGTCGGTCTTAGTATACGATGTAACTGTAGAAGTGTCAAGTTTTAAATAGGAAAAATATACAAACTCTTTGGTCGTTTTTGAGCAAGATGCTAATGGTCTAATCAGATTAAATGATCTATGCTAGGCTGAGTGGATTCGAAAATGGTAAAACTCAACTGTTTAACTCTAGGGGAGTTGGAAAACGAGCCCGTTTTCAAAAATTGTGGAGTGTTCCTTTAAGCTTAATATCTCCGTGTACAAACTGTGGTTTGATGAAGAAATCATTAGGTCTTGCAGAACACAGTCATGGCATCCTTTCTACAATGATGATCAAATATTGTTTGGAAAATTCTTCCCTATATTGACGTTTCTGCAAGTTGCTGGACTTTGACTGTCAGGGTGACTGGTGGAAGCAGCGCCGCTTTGATTATTTGAGTAGGTTTTGAGTCTTAAGCGCTATTCGCACGGGATTAGTATTACCTGGTGACCTCCAGTCATTTGTAATAAGTGCGGAGGTTGTCTGTGATCTTAATCCCGTGCGAATCGGCCATGTCTGTAATTTGTAAAGTAAAAATTCCCCCGCAAATGACCTACCATATTTCACCGAACACCGAGGTCCTGTGATAGTATTAGTCCCGTGCGAATCGGCATCTCTGTGATTCGGCCAGCATTTGGCGGGTCGTATATCATTTTTCGAGGTTTTTGTTTCCTGGGTGTCTTTTTATCCATCTTTCGCGAAGAATGGAGCTGCGTTGGAGTGTTTGATAGTATTCTGGGTGCTGTCATATATTGCTACACCATACAATTTGGAGAAAGAGAAAGCTGAAAAGGTTTTGAGGTTAATGTGTTACAAAATAAATCAAGCATAAAGCTTGAGATATTATTTAACCTGGTGAAATGTAAATGACACAGCGCACGAAACAATATTAGTTTCTTTTTTTTTTTTTTAATCCATCTAACCGGACCATAGAACGAGACTCTTAAAGCCTTGATATCCAGAAGACAAGTCTGTAAATTCGAGTAAAATCACAGGCTTCGCTTATCCCGTGCGAATGCACCACACGAAAGGTCCCCAGATAATACTAATCCAGTGTGAATAGGGCATTGAGATGTGTTTTTCAGTCACTGACAGAAGTTTGTTTCTTCGTCTGCAGAGTTTCAGATTAATTGAATGGAAGAAATGCTGAGTTTCTGCTGAAGAAGCTGTGGCAGGTGGACAGTTCAAAGAATAACACGCTTGTTTTGTTGCTTTGTAAGGGGCTTGCGTGAGCTCAAACAGTAGATCATCATGGCGCTAGCAATGCCGAGGTCATTTAATTAAAAATAATTATTGATATTTGTGCTGGATATTTATCCTGAAAACTTTTTTTTGGGACCACATTTACACGCTGCTTTGAAATAAGGGGTTAGATTTGACACTAAATGGAAGTGCCCTCTATTTGTTTTCTAAATGCATGTAATAGATGTTATTGTGAAGGATTCATCTATTGGGGATGGGTGATCTTCCCAAAATATCCCGATCTTGTGACACACAATCACAATCCACGATCTGAATCACAAACTTCGTGTGATCTTGATGACACACAATGGTTTCAGTATGAGAAACCTGAAAGAGATGCAGTGAGAAGCGTTTGTGGTGTATAGACTTTTATCCTGTATATTGCAGTAAATGTATTGGCAGCACAAGTAAATATAGTGGAAACCAAAGTCATCGTTCACTCATTTTCCCCATCAGCATGTCACTCAACTCTTGTTTTCCCTATGTATTTAAATGTGGCTCATCGTGAGAGAGTCCGTACTGATGTGTGAGGAGCTGACTGATGAGTGTGAGTGACGTACGACGGCTGTAGGTTTGATGAGTGTTTGCATGTATGTGTCTTTGTGGAGTTACTGATTTAACATTGGCTGTGAAGTGTGTTGACAATGAAACGGTCAGAGTACTTTAGTCTGCTACATGCTTTAGGGCCTTTCGCACCGCAGGAACCTTTTCATAGTACCAGAACTAATTGTTGAACTACCCACTTTTCGGCGTTTTCGCACCGCTGGAAATGGGTGCGATTTTAGTCCCTAATTTTCGAGAACCAAATTAGCTCCTACTCCGGAGCAGGGTCTAACCAGCACAACTGGTACTAATCGTGACACAAGTAGACATTGATTGGCCAAACACGTATGAAAACGCCCTCACCTGCCATGATTTAATACGGCGTGTAAACATACTGTAAACATTGTCAACTTATTTCGCAAGTATGGAGAACAGCGATAGATGGACGGACGCTGAAGTGCAGGCACTTGTAGCAAATGTAGCACTGCCAGTTGTCACTGGAGCTTCTTAGTCCTCCTTTCCGTTCTTTCAATCGCTTTACGTATACGTCGACTTTCCATGTCCATTATTGTGAAACCCGCGAGACACAACAAACACACAGCTCTGATCACAGCGTCCTCCATCCTCCTGTTGTTAATGTTGTTCTTCTTTGTTTCTGTTGTTGAACGCCGCACACAAATGACGACGCTGTCGACCGGCTTACGTCACTTCTTAGTACACACTCTCGGTGTGAATGCAACCCTTTAAATGGTACTGGGTAATAGTTCGCGCAAAATCATACCTGTACTTCAGTACTGCACATTTAGTTCTGGAACTAAAGCGGTGCGAAAGGCCCTTTTGACACTTGTTGGTTTGAAATGACTCCGATTGCTTTTGAAAGCGCTTCTTCAAGAGATAGTTCACCAAACATGAAAACTCAGTCCAGACTTCATTTCTTCTGTGGGACACAAACTGAGATCATCTCCGGGTTTGTGTTTCCCAGTACAGAATAAAGTCAATGGGACTAATGTTGCTTGGACCCCAGTGACTGAAACCATCACATTTGTCAGTCACACAGCTGTAGACCTGCCTGAGAGCGAGTAGATGACAGCAGTTTCCGTGTTGGGATGAACTATCTGTTTAGCAGTTGTTGTTGCTTTAGTTAATCTAGTTTCTGTTTGTTTATTGCTCAGTTTCCTCTCCGTCAGCGCAGAAGAGCAGCGCTCAGGACGTGTGTGATGATGATATCAAGATCGTATTTGAGCTTAAACCAACAATAGAGCAAGCAGAGCTGGCTGCCAGTCTGATGCTTCCTCCTACGTTCTTCTGTTACAAAAACCATCCAGGATACGTCAGCGACGATGACGGCGATGGTAAGATCCACACGCTATTTAACGGTAAAACATATGACCGAAGTCCAGTTTAGTTCATCAGAGCTGCACTTCTGTACACTGTCATTGTTAAATCTTTAACAGTATTCACATCTTCTGATTGAAGTGTTTTGTGTCACTGTGAGAAAGGACTAACCTCAGATTCACACCGCTGTTTTCAGATGAGGATTTTGAGAGCGCAGTGAGGGATCTGAAGGGGAAGCTGTATGCGGATGGAGCTGATGGAGCATCTGATCACGGTAGGTTGCTCTGGACCAGTGGTTCTCGAACTGGGGTACGCGGAGGGGGTACGTGAACAAAATACTGAAATTTACCATTCATTTAACTATATCACACTCTTAAATAACATTCAGCTGAACATGTTTCTCACAGGCAACACATATAAACTAGGGCTGTCAGTTTAACACGTTAATTAATTGGTTATGAAAAAATTACGCAATTAAAATATAATAATAATATTAAAGGGATAGTTCACCCAAAAAATTTTAATTCTGTCATCATTTACTCTCACGTCCCTCATGTTGTTTCAAACCTTTCTTTTTTGGAACATAGAAGGTATTTTCAAAGACTATAGAATACCCTTAAAGGGACTTTGGTATTTTGAAGACCGTTAACAAAGCTGTTTTGGTTACCAATGACTTTCATTGTATGAACAAACAATACTGAGATGTTTCTTAATTTATCTTCTTTTATGTTCCATGGTTTGTTAGGCCATTGTAGCCTAATAATAAATGTTTTTGTTGAATCAAATCAAATATTTCTACAGCTACAATTTGTAATGTCTACTTGATACTTTCTCATTTAACACAAAAAATATCTTTAAATAATCTTTTTGTGGGTATTTTCAGTCAAATTTATTTTGCCGTTAAATAGATCAATTAATCAAAACATCATGTAATTAATTAGATAAAAAATGTTAACCGACTGAAAGCACTGATATAAACACCTGCCTCTTGTGTACCAAAAAAAAATCTGTCATAAATGCTCCTCTGTTTGCTCACGTGCATCAATCAGAGTGTAAACCGTGAGAGATGCACTCCATTACAGATTAAAGAGAGGAACAACATATAAGGTAAGGTGGCCAACAGGTAAATAAATGTAGAATTGCACTGTTTGCTCTCGTGCATCAATCAGAGTAAACCGTGAGAGATGCTGAGACAGGCACGGCGCTTGCAGACCACATGATGTTCGCTCCATTATGGAGTAAAAGAAATAATATTAGAAATAATAAAGGTAAGGTGGCAGATAGGTAAGCTAATAAGAGTGAACGGAGAGGAGGGTTGTGTCCGGGAGCAGCCAGAGGTCTTTAGGAGGTTAATGCGTGCCGTTGTGGCTCCCGCTGGTAAAGAACCGCGGGTTATAGATGAAGAGTTTATTGGCAAAAACAGATAACTCGTTTTTTTTTTTATATATAAATCATGTTTGTTACCATGTTTTTGTGTTTTATTGTGTTAGCTGTATTTTTTGTTGTTGTTTTTACTTAATCAAAATAAACTGCAGTTTGATTGAGATTAATTGGAATGCACAATGAAAAAACTTGATTTTTTTAAAGCAGAGTTCTCTCTTTTTTCAAATAAACTCTTAATATTGTTTAAGGTGCCAGACAGGTAGGAGAGCGGGGTTGCGTTGTCTGTTCACGTGTATCTCTGATTGGGAGCTGTCTCCAGGTGGCAGGTTTTGTGGCAGCTGCTTTACTGCTAATCGCACTGTAAAGACTTTGCTGCCCTTCGCAACAACGTACATTTGCGTTCTCAGCACTTACTGGCGTAAAGAACAATATTCACACACTGTCCACAGAGAACGATTTAAGACTCAGACTCTCTCTGATACGGCCAAACATCGCAGTTACGCAAATCATATCAAGCACACCCATCTCATTAAACGCGGTGCAATGTATTAAAAAATATACGATAGCTTGCACACAAATGATGAGTTAAAGGTATGCGTTACATGTGCACGTTTTTAAGATATTTAGTATCTAGTGTGAGAGCGGTTGCGCGACTGTAAAACGTTTGAGAACCACTGCTCTAGACTACTCTAGTTATCAGGGCTCGACGGTGATGTCCGCTCGAGGCCAAAGTGGGAGAGTTATGTACGTGGTGTGAGGTGTAATTGACGTCAGATTATCCTAAAAGTTTATCTCACACACGCAGCACTAATGAGCTCTGTGTGTGTTGGTCCGTTCTCTCATGCTGGGCGTTTCATCAGAGCATGCTTGTGTCTGCAGACTCGGAGGTCAGTCTGGTGTGGGAGAAGCGGCCGACTGCAGACGAGGAGCAGCGAGCCAGACGCCTCCTGCTGCCTCCCACCTTTCTGTGCGGCGTCAGCAGCGACTCCGAGCCAGAGGCAGAGAAACCAGACGACTTCAGCACTGAGCTCCAGAAGCTGCAGCAGCAGCAGGTGACGAGTGTTTCTGATCTCCACATCGCTGTGAGTCCGGTCTGCAGCACAGCACCAGCTCTGGACACACGGGTGAAGCCCGAGCCTTCCCATGATGCAGCAGCTGTGGACACACAGGTGAAGCCAGAGACTTCCCATGATGCAGCAGAAGAGGAGCAGCGAGCCAGACGCCTCCTGCTGCCTCCCACCTTCCTGTGTGGCGTCAGCAGCGACTCCAAGCCGGAGGCAGAGAAACCAGACAACTTCAGCACTGAGCTCCAGAAGCTGCAGCAGCAGGTGACGAGTGTTTCTGATCTTCTCATCGCTGTGAGTCCGGTCTGCAGCACAGCACCAGCTCTGGACACACGGGTGAAGCCAGAGACTTCCCATGATGCAGCAGAAGAGGAGCAGCGAGCCAGACGCCTCCTGCTGCCTCCCACCTTCCTGTGTGGCGTCAGCAGCGACTCCAAGCCGGAGGCAGAGAAACCAGACAACTTCAGCACTGAGCTCCAGAAGCTGCAGCAGCAGGTGACGAGTGTTTCTGATCTTCTCATCGCTGTGAGTCCGGTCTGCAGCACAGCACCAGCTCTGGACACACAGGTGAAGCCCGAGCCTTCCCATGATGCAGCAGCTGTGGACACGAGCAGCGGCGGAGCAGAAGAGCGTCAGACTGACGGCAGCCGTCCCATCGACCTCTCCACCAAGAGAAGCAGTGAGAGCGACTCCAGCACAGCTACAGGTGAGTGCCAGTCAAACCTTAACAAGCGTCTCTCAGAGCAGTCTGATTCCTAATATTAACTCCAGTCATCATGTGAAATGTTTGCTTTGTGGTTGCTGAATTAATGCACTTCTGCATCCTCTGTGATGCGAGATCCATGTCTGGATTCATGTTTGGATTTAGTAGCAGTAAATAGCGCAAGTAGCTTCGGGAAAGAAATCAGACTGGCTGCGTGACACATTACTATTATTTTTATTCAGAATATCTCAGTAGAGATCACTAAACCTCAGCTGACATGTTTGCCAGTGTTTTCAGCTCAGCAGCACTTCTGTACTGTAGAGAGAGTGCATGCGAATGGTTTTAATGAGGAAAGCTGTATTCGGAGGATTTAAACTCTTGACGTCTGGCACCCACAAGCATGAGCGTCTATGGAGGCTTACTGCCAAAGCAAGATAACGGCAATATCAAATAAAAAAAGTATTTTCTGGATAAATAACCAGCAGGCAAATATCGTGGCTATAATTAATCAGGACAAGCAGAAATCCTGATAATAATTCAAGTGTGACTCTGGAGCACAAAAGCAGTGTTAAGTCGCTGGGGGATATTTGTAGCAATAGCCAACAATACATTGTATGGGTCACAATTATACATTTCTCTTTTATGCCAAAAATCATTAGGATATTAAGTAAAGATCGTGTTCCATGAAGATATTTTGTACATTTCCTTCCATAAATATATTCAAACTTAATGTTTTATTAGTAATATGCATTGCTAAGAACTTCATTTGAACAACTTTAAAGATGATTTTTGCACCCTAAGATTCCAGATTTTCAAATAGTTGTATCTCAGCCAAATATTGTCCCATCCTAACAAACCATACATCAATGGAAAGCTTATTTATTTTGATGTATAAATATTTCATATGATGCATAAATCTCAATTTCTAAAAATTGACCATTATGACTGGTTTTGTGCTCCAGGGTCACATGCTTATGATTAAGCATGCAGCCCTTTATTGTAATCACAAGCAGATCATTTTCATGCTTAGTCACAGAACTCATGAACATATTCTTTCTCGGTACATGGAGAGATTTGTCTTGGAGTGTAAGAGATCTGTTGCATGCACCCCTTCAATGTATTTTGGCATCTAGCTCAAAATAGAACGGCTTTCATCAGATCAATAAACAAAATTATTATGTATAAAAGTCAAAGAACATTCGATGCGAACCCAAAAAAATCTAGCTTGAAGGCCTAATCGTTTGAGTATGAAAACACAACAAATCCATTTGTCTTACATGGTGCAGAACATAGTGCAGCCATTAAGTTGCCTCAACAGGGCATTGTGATTTAAAAAGTTAAATGAAATATATATATATATATATGTATATGTGATACCATGATGCAGACCCAGCCGTGAGAGCTTTCAGCATCATGATCATCTGTAAGCTGTGTTCAGAGAGGACAGGATAAAAGCACATGAGTTAGTGAGCGGGTAGCATCTGCTGAATGCTGTTTAGTGGGTGACGTGAGTTTTTGCTGTCCTCCTGCAGGTCTGTCTTTTGGATTCGCATCTGTGGGTGGGTTTTCTTTTGAAGAACTCTCAAAGACTTCGGGGGAATTTGCATTTGGCAAAAAAGGTGAGTCTCTTTACCTGTTCACCAGTGAATATAACTTAAAACTCATTCTCTCTGCTTGAGAGTGAAGGGTTTTCTTGGGCTTGCTGGTGTGAACTGCTGCTCATCAATGTGAAGCCTGAGGTCAATATTTACACTGTTATAAATTACATTTTGGTTTGTTTTCTCCCAAACTCAATGACATTCTTTAAGAGCACAGACACAATCATACATCACTTCATTGATTCTGTGCTTAAGCAGAAAACACTGCTTGCTGTGTGAGGTGTAATGTGTTCTGTAATAATCAGTGTTTGTACGTCATACTGTTAGTGTTAATGCTGTCTAAAAACACAGGGCAGTGTTATTTGTATTCTAATCCAAGTTCATCTTTGTCTGACTTTTGAGAATGCTTTCCTAAAGCACATTATAAGGTCTTGTTTGTTTTGCTTGTTTTTAAAGGGGTCATATGATGCGATTTCAAGTTTTGCTTTCTCTTTGGAGTGTTACAAGCTGATTGTGAATAGATAAGATCCCTGAAGTTGCAAAGACTAAAGTCTCAAACCCAAAGAGATATACTTTATCAAAGTTAAGACTCTGCCACGCCCCCCTAAAACGCCTCGTTCTAACACGCTACCATATCTACCTCACTATGTGGAAATATTAGCATAATGCGCCCAGATGTGCACGCAAAGAAAGAAGGTGTGGTTTCAGTAACCGCAGTTAGTGTTGAAGCAGCATGTCAGGGAGACGCTGTGTGTTTCTAGACGAAAGCAGAAGCACTTTATTTGGCCTTCCAGAAGGAGGTGCATTTAGGAATCTTTAAGATCAGTTGCAACAGAACAGCAATGCATTTTATGGACGAGCGTTTCGTGAACCTAGGAGAGGAGGGCACTCTGACTTTGCTATGACAATCTGGCGCTTCTGAATCAGCTACTGTTTTGTTATTAGTTTAAGTATTTGCTATTGACTGTTCAAATGCGGAGTTTTGCGCATCGTGTGTGTGTGTGTGTGAGAGAGCGAGGGAGCGCGAGAGAGTGTCACATCACAGTGGAGTCAGCTGTCTTAACCGCGGCTTGTGTACGCGCACACACACACACACACTTCTATTTCACTTCTTTTGGACTGAAGCACCGCAACACCCGCCGAGTGCAATGATAGAGCTTGAAAGATCAAAGACCACTTTAAATATAACTCTGACTGGATTCGTCTGAAAGAAGAAAGTCATACACATAGGATGCCTCGGGGGTCAGTAAAATGCAGCCTGATTTTCATTTTTGGGTGAACTAACCCTTTAACTTTTAATTTAGTTATTGTAATGCTTTAAAGAGCAATTTTAGATTGTAATATTCTAATGTTCTGCTATCTGTTCTGAAAACTATAAAAGGTACAGCTGTAATAAAACCAGAGAGAAAGGCTGCAT